TCTGTGCCTCAGCAGGAAACTCATGGAGAGCCTGCGGTGTGGCCATCACTGGACATTGTAGCTGCCCCTTCATTTAATCCTCATACACTCCCTCGGAAGGGTTCCCTTATCTGACTTTTGGGGAAACAGAGGCTCAGAGGTGATGGGATGGACTCACAGTGGTACAGGTTGTAGGGATTAGAGCCAGGATTGGAACCCTGGTCTAACTGTATTAATTAGGTGAACTGCCTTAGGAAACAGTGCGAATCTTTATATCAGATCCAGCTTCTCTAATCGCACAAAACGTCAGATATGCCTATGGTTGATCTAGATACAAAATTGTGATGTGTGATGCTTAAACTGTATTTTTATGTTCCTCAAAGTGGGTCCTTCATCGCTGATGCATTTTCATCAAATCATCATTGATGGTCTACTATGGTGCATGGTGATGTGGTATTGGCCCCAACGATGGCATCTATAAAATCAAAGCTCTCAGACACAGTAGATCTAAGGCTTTATCAGCTAGGCAGGTGTCTAACCTCTTACGCCCATTCTGTTGCCTTGTTGCTGTCTGTGGCCAATAAATAGAATTAAGACAATTGACCCAGAGAATGACTTTGAAACAGCACAAACCACTTTGGGACTTGAAACTATGGGCCGGGGCTCAAACTCAGCCAGAACCCACATTGGGACTTGAACCCACTGTCTTTTGATTGAGATCACACACCTGATCTCAGAACTGAATGAAGCTCTGGTTCTTTTATGTCTCAGTGCAGAAAGAATTCAGTGAGAGACAAAGTGATAGGTAAGGAGTGGATTTATTTAGAGAGATACACATTCCATAGACAGAATGCGGTCTGTCTCAAAAGGCGAGAGCAGCCTTGGGAGAAACACACTGCACAGACAGAGAGTGTGGGCCATCTCAGAAGGCAAGAGGCCATAAAATATGGGGTGGTTAGTTTTTATGGGCTGGGTAGTTTCATAGGCTAATGAGTGGGAGTATTATTCCAAGTATTTTGGGGAGGGGGTGGAGATTTCCCGGAATTGGGTCACCGCCCACTTTTTGGCCCTTTACGGTTGGCCTTGGAACTGTCCTGGCGCCTATAGGTATGTCATTTAGATGCTAATGTATTACAGTGGGCATTCAGTGAGGCTCAAGGTCCACTGGAAGTCAAATCTTGCACCATCTTGGACCTAATTGATTCTAACCAGTTTATGTCAAATCCTCAAGGGCTATGTCGTTCTTTTAGAGGTTCTGCCCTGTCCCCTTCCCTGCTGTTTCAACTTCAGTGGATTTCTCACCTGACAGGTATCTTACAGTCTTTTGAAATGTTGTCCATAGGTTTATATAACTGACTTTTTCAGGGATTAAAAAAGCATCAGAAAGACATACTCATTTTTCAAGAAGTGTAGCTACCCTCAAAGTTTTTAATCTCAGGGAAGGTTGTGTAATGGTGTTTCTGAAGTTGCCTTTCTCTTTAAGGTTATTAATTGCGTACGACTACTTTCGTTCATGGGTGTCATAACT